AGAATGACCGTGATTACAGTGTAGATGAATGAACGAAGAGATTTTATAAAGTATTTGTCTCTTGATGGTCGTAAAGGGTTCGTATTACGGGGGTGATTTATAAGGGATTCTCTCAGTATTTACCTCTTGATGGTCGTACAGGGTTCGTATTACGGGGTGGTTTTCCAGGTTCATTCCTTGTCCTTGGTCGTGTGTCTGAGGCATCGTGTTTTTTGCAACCATTCGATCCACGTCAAGAACCTAATGACAACATGTTCAGAAAATTGAGTAAAGAATCATGGGATAGGACCGTTTAGAATAAGAAAAGTTGACGCCGTTTTCTTGAACAAACTTTGGCGTGACGTCCTCCTCGCAATTTTTAACCATCAAAACAGCTCACAGTATCCTTCTTGTCAGGTTTCTCAGCAGAAACAGCAAAACTACTTGCACTTTTGCAAGAAAACAAGAAAATGGTTTGAATGTTTATTGAACAGACATAAAAAAGTGCGACGGTTATATCTTCCATCATGCTCTGTTACAGAAAACGACGTCCTAGCACATGGCTCATCATATTCATGAAAAGTGCGATTCTATACCTTGATTGACGCATCTACAGAACCCGTCGCCACTAGTCTACCTAGATATATCCAATGAAAAACAAGGTATTAGCGATATACATTTTATCAGCAACGATACCCAGATCAACGAAGTATGTATAATGAACCAAGAAAAGCAACAGATTCACATAGTATGACTTGCATTTGTTTTGAAAAGATATCACTATAGTTCCATCTCCGACGAAGGATTAACGTCCGAAAKGTCAGTAAGTTATTTCACCTACTTTTTTAKGGTGTWAAATTAATCTTTTACACAACTATCACTATAGCTAATAGACGACTTTATAGTCTTCGAGATCTTACCGCTGGCACTAAATGCTGCAGTCCTACACGGTGCTTTATGAGCAGTGACGTAATAGGTTTCATACATGGCTGCTGGTGGAGTGGTTCCGTGATCTATGACGTAATGAAAGRCAAGCTATCAAGTCATGTGGGAAATGCACTGGAAAATACATGAGCATGCGTAGAAGCTACATTACGGTAGCAGATATTTTTGATTTTGACCGATACTTTCTCGTGGCGGAGCCCCCCATGACTTTCAAAAACTCCTAACTACTGCGTCTTGACTAACGTTAGACCTCATTCCCGTCATTTCTGATTATCACTCAAAAAACCTCCGTTTTGTTTTGTGTTTGTTTTGTTCAGTGTAATGAAATATAATAAACACGAGGCAWTTTTCCCATACATTATTTATTTTATTATTTGTTTTACATAATTTGCACCTTGTATGTTTCTACACTACGGCTAAAATCAATAAAATTATTCTGGAGCAATAATATATACAAGTCCATCCAAATCATAAAATATATATCCACAATATCTACTGTAATATGCCGCTTAAATAATAAATGATAATTGCTTTTATGATAGCAAATCTGTTGGATTTCTTCACTTAATCGATAAGGCTTCGGAACACAGCTGGTAAATACGAGAATGTTCGTTGGTAAATACGAGAAATGTTCGATTACTCCCGCAAGCGATATTGACTTGCCTAGGTGTTCCCATCCGACGCACTTTCCACTGTTATATACCAGTAGAGCGAGTCATCTCACGAACCTCTTAAAAAAGTCGTTGATAGATCGTAAAATATCGGAAAGAGTTCGTTATTGCGTCGTATATAATCGGAAAACTATCGTTCAACGATATTAAAAACTACATAGAGCTTGTCACACGAATGGCATCAGTTCCATCAACCTGRACTACGTACACGTTCTCMCCTATTTCAACTTTACTGGGATCAAACGATTCACGACGAAACACGAATGGCTCGGGTCTCCCACCATCGCTTTCGTACTCAATATGTCGTTCATATCGATATCTCCTCGGCTCCTCTCTTCGGCGTTCCGACGGTTCACGACGAATTACCAAAGGTTCGGGTCGGTCGTCGCTTCCTTCCATGTCGGCAGCGGCTAAACTCTGCAATGGTAGAGTTTCTATGGTAACCACATCTTCAGGGATACCATAACTCGAATCATCGGAGTCCGAGTGTCGTCTGGCTTCTGTTGCTGTGTAGTACCGTGATGCATCGGGTTCTTTGTCTTCACGAGTTTGTCTCATTTTGACAGGCGTGAGCTGCTTGCGTGACAGCGCAGCAATTTTTGTCGTGACCAAGTTTTTATCGACATCGAACTCTTCCGGTTCTTTCTTGGGAGAAACATATGACGTCACTTCCGATGACGGACGTACTGGTACGTCCTCTCTTAAGAACACAAGACGATCGCACAGGCTTCTGGGATGCGGCAGGTTCTTATATCCAGTTGTCTCTGTCGGTGACGTCACTGGTTCTGTTTTGACTATTATGGGAGTCCTGTGCATATCGCTTGGGTGATAAGAGCTAACCACGTGGCGTTGAGGGCGTGTTGGGCTTGCTATGGTTTCCATAGGGGCCTGGGTCTCACTTTCATTTTGATTAGGAGAGTGACATCTCATTTTGGAGTGGGAAGGTTTGACGTCATAGGGTGAGGCAGCCTGAGGACTGTACGCCATCTGTATGGAGCACAGAAATATGGTGGTTAACATTGCAATCAATCAGTCAGTCAGTCAGTCAGTCACCAACACAATAAATCAATTAGTCAAGCAATCAATCATCCAATCAATCTGTCAGTCAGTCACCCATACAACCAATCAATCAACAAATCCATCAAGCAATCATAAAATTAAAGGCCCAGTTTGCACCATTATGCTTTGCGTGCCTCTGTTATTGTTATGATTTACACCAAAATACTTCTAGTATCCAAATATCACCATGAAACGAATTTCAGATGGTTGAAAACTCTCATATTATCGTTTAAAGTGCTTAGAAAAGTGTTATGGTCAAAGATTCGAAACACAGTTCAATTTATGGACTTTCAGTAAACTGAAAATGGCTGCCTGAGTCCCGGCCCTTGCAGCCCCCAAAGCATAATGTAGCACACTGGGCCTTTCAGCAAACCAACCAATCAATCACCCATTCAACCAACCAACCAACCAATGAAGCCACCAATCTACCACCAATAATCAACCAACCAAGCTATGAGATAACATGATCAGTCAGTCAACTTACCGTAAAACTCATGCGTTTTCTCATCATTCTCTCTTCCCTCAACTGCCTTGCTTTATCGGCATAGATAACACGTCTTTCMTCCTCAGGCTTCAGCAAGAACTGTCTCATCTTTTCAAAATTCATTCTRCCTTTACTGTTTGCCTTCTCACGTGAYTAGAAAACCTTTTCACCATGTTTCAGCATTTCAGACAAATATCCCTGTGTCTTRCCAAGCACACACTTTGCAAAGACTTCTTGTGAAATGTTCATTTTCTGAAGTTCTTGCTTCACGCGAAGACAAACATTATCAGCACTTAGTTCTTCATTGGAAAGTGAGACTTCGCCATTGGATCTGACAACTTTTATCTCCTCTGCAGCAACTTTGTTTTTTGTGATTCGTAAAATGTGTTCTTGGACTTCTTTTGGTGGGATATTTTCACGATCAGATTCTCCACCACTGTCTGAACTACTTGTGGCTTTCTGGTGTTCATTATGTGTGGTCTCATTGACTTGGCCATTGTGTCGATGACCYTTGTATTCTAAGATATAAATGAAATGGGGAGTTGAGTCATAATGTATACTGAATCTATAGATTTATTATTGATGAACTTTAAAGTTAAGAAACTGGTTTAATTTTTGACTTTTTTATGTAGTTTAGTGAAGTATATTCAAGACTTTAATGCTTCAGGTTGCTTTATGGGATTGATATTATCAAATACAAACATGTTTTAAAGATACAAACCAATTGCAAACAAGTTTTAAAACACATTCATCAGAAATTAAACCAGTTTTAGCATAAGATTAAATTTATTTAGCAACAAATGAAAAAAAAAACAGTTTGACAAGAAAAGCCAATAAGACAAGTACTAAACCAGTTCCATACATGTATGAAAGATGGAGGAATAGTTGAGAATGAGCAAGRGTTAAATAATAGATAGGATATTCACAAGGTAAATAGCAATAAAACTGAAAAAATTAGCACCATATATATTGTGTGTGTATATTAGTGAAATATTAAACAGTGAGCTAACATACATATAAAATTAAAACAAAGAGAAATCAGAAAAAGAATAAAGCAATCAATAATTGAAAGATTTGAATCACAATGATTTAGAGGCAGGCAACATAAAATGTCAGGTGCAACAACATGTTATTCTCTAAACATATCCAAAACTATAATTTATATTGTTCAATGATTCCTTTGAGAGAGGTTTAACTTAAAAAGATATAGTTTATGTGGGCAACAAAAGACAAGCCACTCAAAGTTTGTTTATTGATTTTATTAGATTCAGTATACAAATTCACTTCTCCATTTCATTTAGCTGTCTTAAAATACAACTAAATCTCACTTCAAATCATTTCCAAAGCAAAAATAGTATGGTTTTCCAAGCTGTTGACAATCCACCAATGGTTGCCTTTAGATTATCCACTTCAATGATATATTGAAACTGAACTGCAGCTTTTTTTCAGATAGATTTTTTATAAAATCACAATACTGCTGTTCTAATGCAGTTAAATGACAACTACACAAGAATTAAATGAKAATTTGGAGCATTTTGAAGTGATCAAAATAATGGAAATTAGACTTTTGTACTAAATGAATGATAATTTATTGCCAATCAAAAAATAAAGACAATAATCTTTTATTGTGCACAACTACTAGATTAACATCTTGAACATTAAAAATATTATATGATACAGTACAGTCTCAAAATCACTGACAGCCAGTATGGGTTSCATTTCAAATAAATAAAAAGATTGACGAAAGAAGATAATACTTGTGCAGTATTAAAGCAACAGTTTGTATCATGAGAACGTAGGTTTGAAGCCCAAAGTGTTTGTCAGCTTTTTATTCATCACAATCACTTTGGTTGTATGTTGAATGGCTTTCATAAAATCATATGCTTCATCTGTGATATTTCATTTATTTTTGTGGATAAATAACAAACAAACAATGTTCACAATGTTCCTGAAATGCTTCTTTGTGTGTGTATCATATTTTGTTATTTTGTTCCTGTGTACTATAMCGAGGTTATATGTGTTTGATGAAAATTTATCTCTAATTCTAAAAACACTCTAATGAATATAGCACACTCACCATCTGGTTCATATTCCAGATCAATTCCCTTGGCTGGAACCTTGGTGTTACTAGTAAGTCCAGGTAATTGGGGATTCTCTGGCCTAGAGCCTGGAAAAACAAAACATTTAGATACCAAATACAAGATAGTTAACAGTTCTACTATTACTGAATAAAATAAAATCTATAATGTTTATAATAATCACACAAAATCCTTTTTTTATGATTACTAAAGAAGGCCTTCACTGATTTATAGATAATTTTAATAGATTATAATTTTATCTGTACCTTCAGCTTCTGCTCTTAATCCAAGATTGACAACTTGATGTAGTCTTGCTGATGGAGGACATGGACTTATAATGTTGGTAGTTTTAGCCAGGCTAGCAGCAATGGCCTCGCATCCATCATATCGTAGTTGGCTACACCAATGAAACACACAAAATGAAGATCAATTTGTACAAATGATTAAATGACAGGTGATATGAGAAAATTCACAAAAGAAACAAGAAAAATGCTTAAAATCTCAATTGAAAAATTATTGAAAGTAGAATTTTAAGTTATATTTCTTGAATGATTTTGGAAAGACTACATTTCAGTGTTCACAAGGATTATTGTCTTGTGTTAAAAACTTACATATAATGGCCAAAAAATATAGGGTCCTCTATAAAACCATTACAATTTCTAATATAGTTTTAATGGCGTAACCAATAGGATTGTGATATCCCATAGTTTTAAAGACAGGGATAAGAACTTCACTGTCAAATAAATAGATGGAGTTTGGGTGGTGTTCATGTAAGCTTACTTGCTAGTACAATATTCTAAATTCATCAATTTATAAATCTTATTAATATTGCATTATGAAATTGATGTCGAATTTTATTCATTGTAAAATGTTTCTTAAGAAATTCAAACATCTTATGAAATACGTAAGCTAATCATAGCGTACTTGGGATATTCAAAAATTCGGAACAATTAGATAAATTTCAGCTGTTGTACCTATTGATTTCATCTGGATTTTCGTTCTTCTCTTTAATTAGAACAAAAAAAAATGAAAATCTCATGGGCAAAAAAGTAGAAAGGATCCTTCGAGACGAAACAATACAGTATCATTCATTTCTTGTGCAGATTTGGTATCTGAGGCAGTGTTTACGATCACAGTTTTTTTAGAAGATAACATTTACATGAACACACATCGATTCAAAGGCAGCATGGTTTTCTTTGTATGAAGAGCTGTCAACAACGCGATGAAAAAATCACGACAAAAATGCCCTAAAGCGGTTCACAAATAGCTCTCGATTACTTATAGAAGTATTAAAAACGATGAAGGTTTGCCATTTCGGTACCTTATAATTAGTTTGTAGAGATTTTCTCGCTCTTTCACGGCCTCTTCCATCTTCATACACACGTTACTTTACGAATTACAACTGCGCATGTGCAATTGGAGGCGCCAAGGGAATTATGGAATGGCACAATGGATTGTGGATCGTACAGAACTAAGGACGCATCGAAAGATGACCTTTATACCAACAAAATCTTTATACTATCATTCTGTACTGTTCATGAGAGACTATTTTATGTACTAAACACAAGAGACTGGATTAGTTTGACAGCCTTAGATGTATTTGTGAAAAATAAAGAAATTAATTCTTTTTTTTATCTACCATATGAAATGACGAAAGCATACCTTTGTTATGAAACAAAAAAATCGAATTAAAAAATGAAGAAAATAAAAAACAAATTTCTATAAATAAGCAGGGATTTTAATAAGCTTTCTGATTGTACAGTCATCGTTTGTTTCGTGAACGATACTCCTAGATGCATGCGCGGTTTCCAGAATATCCGGACTCGTGTGGATTCAACGTAACTTTCTCGTAACTTCTGCCGCTATATAAAGTGTTATTCATAAACGTCTTTTAGCATAACATTAAGATCGATTACAACGCCATTACAACGCCATTAATCACCATATAACAATACTCATTGAATATCGCTTCCATCATCAGCCAATCAAAACGCGCAGCTGTCTCGTCATTGTCAAGTTGTAATATGCGCTACTTTTGTGTAAAGTGATTTCAAGCTCATCAAGTCATTTTACTGTCTGTTTTGGTTTTTGATCCAATAAACAGTTTTGATGTTTGAAAGAAGCGCAAACCATAGAGTTGAAGAGCTCCAGCAGATCATAGATGTAAGTATTCTATATTTTAGGATTGGTAAATAGTAAATCAAAGTGAAAAGAGATTAAGTTTTTTTGAAGATCCGCAAAGTTGCCTGGCAATAGCCTTCGTCTACTTTGACGGTTCACTTCACTACTTGAGAGTCAAATTTCAGTTTCTGAAATATTCGTCTGTTCATGTAAATCTTCTTGGGACTAACCATATAGTTAGTTACTAACTATGGACTAACTAATACTTTGATATACTGAATGCCCGTGTCCTGAAAACTACCTCTTTAACAGGTAATTTGTTTACAAATGGCGATAATACTGTTTGAAGGTGCTAATATTTATAAGGAACATTAACTTAGGGTTATATTGAAAAGCAGAAAGCGATGCGAAGAAGCAATTTTGATTACTGTACTGTCTAGATCACTTTCTTGTTAAGTAAAAAAGTGTGACGGCTTTATACGTCAAATTTTCTGGCTGAATTTCTTAAAACCCTAAGATCTTATGCTTAATTTGCGTCATATATCATTATACCTTTCAATTACTTATCTGTAAGTCAAAAATATATTCTTTTAATTTTGAAAAAAGGCATCATCATCGTCTTTTACAAAGCGCCGCAGAAAAAATCACCGTGCGCGCGCTCGACAAGCACGATTCTACGATCCTCGACAGTCCTCAATAAGATTGTCTATATAGATTGTTTTTCAGTATCGATAGTTAATCTTTCAAAGCGCCATAGAAAAATTATTTCAAAATATGTTATGATGTATTTTAGGGATCTTCATCTATGGCAGAAGACATTACGTTATGTTAAAGTTAACGCAAAGAAAATTGAATGGCCAACAAGGAGCTTGAGATGGACACACAAACTTCACCAAGAAATAACTTTTTTGTTACATCCCAAAGAAGAGAATCAAAAATACCAATAGATTTATTCAAGTCCAAAGTGCGTAGACTTTCAGATGTTTCTTCGTCTTCTTATATTTTGAACTCCTTAGACATCTCAACCGCGTTCATTGGAAACATTTTTCGCACCAATTACCGCCGACTGGCAGCTTTTGGTTTGGTTCTGTGGATTGTGAACATTGTTCTGTGTTTCTCGTTTGACTTCTACGAAGCGCACAAGAAGTATGGTATTGCTTGGGGAATAGTAAAGGCTGTAGAATGGCTGGTGTTTTGTTGTGGAAGTTATTTTGTTATTTTTAAAACTATTCCTTGGATGAAAGAAGGATTAAGAAAACTGGAAAATAATTATCATGGCATTGATTATGAAAAATCAATGTTTAAGATAACATTAAGTCTTAAGGTAAATATTTAGTTACACTAACAATGAATTAACCACACTAAACCAAAGTACCAACCAACAACCAAAGCACCAAAGCACTAACTAACCAACCAACCATGCAACCAACCAATCAACCAACCGACCACTCAAACCAACCGACCATCAACACACCAACCACCTTGCAACCAACCATCAACCATTTCGACCAACCATCAACACACCAACCAACKAATCCTTCAACCAACCATGCAACCAACCAACCACCAACACACCACGCAACCAACCCACTAACAAACAAACCATGCACATGCAACCTACCAACCATCCAAACAACCCACCTACAAACCAGTTAATCTTGTCTTATATGATATTTTCCCAGAAACTACAATTATTCCTGGTCATTTTTACAATCACTGGTGCGACATTCCAATATCTTACCATCAAATTTGCTGATAAATCTGGTCACGTGACTTTTAACCAGTCCCTATCATCCGGTGCCGTTGTGGTTCTCAATATATGTCGTTTTATGAGTAGTTTACACATGTTATATGCTTATGCATTATTCTGGTGTCTGGTAAATAGTGTTATGGTCATGGCTGGTCATTCAATGGTCCAGTTTCAAGGTATCAAGCAATCTTTTCTATAAGTTTAGAGACGGTTCATCTCAGGTGCACAAGCTCTGTTTATTCAGAGCTGTGCTGGTTTATTCAGCTCCGCGAGTCTCCCTCGCGCTGGTCCAATTCATTTTACGTTCCAACGCGACTAGATGGCAAAGAATTATTCATATTTTCATTCTCCATTGTTAGTTAAACGAAACTCATCAGTCCTTGGCGTATGTACGCCAGCGCGAGGGGTAGAGGCTAGATTGACTAGTAAGATTGATGATTAATCGTAGACGACGATGCGCTAATACAACGTATTGCCTTTTTTCCCAGAGTGCATCAGTACTAAACTCAGAAACAAGAGGTTATCTCCAACATTCCGGGAAGCAGTTTCAATGTTCGACGAACGACTGCATTTTGTAAAAAGTTCTTCAAGATCTTGTGTGGTAAGTGCGCGGATTAAGCAAAAAGCAAAAATGCCGTTTAAAGCACGATTTTGTACATTGACGATATTGAGCTAAGCACGCATGTCCGTCCTTCTTTCAGGTTCTTCTGTTTTTACTGCTGTTTCTAACACTCTTGTCAGTAATGGTGAACATCTACCTGTTTCTTTATAAAAACCGTTTTATTCTTTACATTTGGTATACATTGATGCCCTTGGGACTAGCAATTTACCCTATGTGCACCGCGGCCTGGGTTACGAAGCAATACCACTGGTACGTACTAGCGTCCTATAACAAATACTTTTATCTATGCAGCCAAATATGGTAAATTTCTATCTTTTTTCAGGTACTTTGTTGCAGTTGTTAAGGCCTGGGCTGAGTACCCAGAGGACAGTTCAAGCGAGTCCGAAGAAGAAACCGCTGAACTTAATGACAGTACGCTTCAGGTGACAAGATCGAAATCACTCTCTCCTGAACCGGACATGGGCATTCATCTTCCAAACTCTGATCACGTGTCAGTCGATGAGCCAATCACAGAGGGTTATAATGAAAGATGGCGGAATGTTCTCCGAGGTTCGATAAGAGTTGTGGGACGTTTGCAACATCAGCGCAAAATAACAAAATTCAATTTCGAGAAGTATATCTCATATCTACAGCACGTGACACCGGGGTCTGGGTTCAAAATCGGAGCCCTTTTAGTAACATGGGAAAAGGTTTCAACCTCCTTATTCCTCTTGACATCAATTGTTGCTGTATTTCTTCAAGAAACAATTTTTGGGAATCAAAAACCAAATGTATGAAATGGATTACATAGCTGTAAAACAGTTAAGAGTACTCCAAACCTTAAAGTAAAATTACCTACACAACCTTTCAGCCGTTTAAAATGATCGCTGCGTAATAAATTTCACGATATTCACAAGTGGTTAATACAATTGACTTTATTTAATCTTTTGTTCACGCTTCCCCGAAACGTTCGATGGGAAATAAATTACCTCGGTGTGATTGGACTGGACGCACTAACTATATATAGCGGAAAAAAAGGGTATTTCAAAACGTATAAGATAGCAAGTAGTCTTCTCTAGCATCCATTACTTAAGCTCGTTCTCATGTCGGTTGCGGTTGCGAGGAAACTACATACCTAGTAATTACTATGTTAAACTGACATTTCTAAACAACTGTCCATTTGCATGTTCTAATATTGGATAGAATTATCATGCAAGGCAAACCAATAGCATTAAGAGTCATTGGCGCCGGCTCTACGAAAGGTGCACAGCAAACAAGCACACGATGTACAGACGATGTAAGAAATGTCACAGGAACCAATCACTTTTACCCTCATAAATTACCATTTTCGACTTTTTTTGATATATGATAGAATAATCTTTGTAACGGCACCTAAAATACCTCGTAAAAATATGTTCCATCGATCAATTGATTAAAAATGTAACGATAATTCACTATCGTACTAAATACTACATTAACCCGTTATGCGTTCATGTTCGGGAAATCATCGGGCCACCTTCGGGCAATCTTCGCGGTAGGTTGTATTATGTAGCTGCGTTTTATCCATATTTGGGCTTAACAGGTGCATCTTCGGGGGCTGAAACGCCCGGTGCAGGGGCTTGTCTCCAGTCTTCTTTCTGTTTATGTTGTCGTACAGCTTCGTTGACTCGTTCATCCATGATTTCCTCTGTCAGCATACCTTCTTTTGAACCATACGCGCTTGCCTGATAAATAAAAAGACATGTGTTGGGTAACAAATCACATCACATAAAAACATGATTCTTCACCTCCCCCTTTAGGGACAGTTAGTCCACCAAAATCATTATTTATCTTACCTGCCAAGCGATAGCAAGTTTGGCAATTTCTCGCCCTGACATCCCTTCACAATCTTCTGCTATTTGTCGACACTTTGTGTTGAAATCAAAATTATCGACCTTCAATCGACTGCAACAATAGATAAAATATCTTTAAGTTGTCTATTCCTCTCGGAAAATAACCAAAAAGAAGTTTTAAGACAGTTGGTAATAAGCCTGTTTCCCTAAAAACTTGCACACACAACCAATAATCCATATGCTTTGGGAAGCAAAACTGCTCAGTTGAACTAAACCCTAGGACATTTACAGTTACACAGCCTTCCTCGGGAACCCTGTGGTGATCTGCTGTCACTCCTTTTATTCCTAGAGAAGGGAACGATGGATGACAAGGTCACCTCTGGGCTCCTGAGGACGATGGACATGGTGAAAATCAACAATAAAGAGAGCTATTAATGCTCACCCTGCTCGAGATCCACTAGTTGCAGGTTTCAGTACATATTCTTCAAAATACTGCCGAACAAGTCGTTCTCGTTCATCTGTGTTGGGAAGACCAAATTCTACTAGCTCATCAATACGATCGTTAATGGCCCAGTCAAACTGGTCAGGCTGGTTACTGGCCAGTACCATCATAAACCTGGAAAAATCACATTTGCACTTGAGTTATTAAAAGATATTTTGCATTGGCAGTGCTGAGTCTTCTTTTTTGAGTTACACATTTACAATGCAGGATGCTCATCTAAGGAAATAATGCTGAAGACACCTCTTTAAGCTGGCACCTTTCAAGGCATTATTATAATGGTCTACCTTGACTTCGAAACACAGCTTCCTTATTATTTGTGATTAAGTAGCCTTCAAAGCAGGGGTTCACTATGATGGACCCCATGGATTCACAAGGAATATCTGATTTGGATGGCTATGAGGAGGTAAAGAAAACACCTCTCTCGACAGAAAAAAAAACAACTTACCTTTTTGATGATTCTCCTGTTCTGTACAAGAAAGCATTTAGAGTACTACGAAGGTCTTCACTAATCTTTTCCTACAAGTTTTAATAAAATTCAGGTGAATTTAATACTTTTTCTTGTAATAATGTGATATCAGTACAAACTTACTTGACTTCGTTTTCTTAGGAAAGCATCAGCTTCATCCACAAACAACAGTAACCTACAAAGACACAAATTCAGTTTAGTTTAGTTTTTCATTTTAGTTTATCTTTGTTATGCCGACCCAACAATTGGAGTCTTAGCCAGCTCAGCCAGTCATTCCTAGTCTCTTTGAGGTCAGTTTGAGACAGAAAAATCCAGAAGGGAGCAGCTGTTCTCCTTCTTTCACAATAATTGATGGTATTTACTGTACTAAGCTCAAAGCTTGTTTCATTGCTAAGCCAAAGTGAGTAACTTGATCATACCCTCTTCTTGATGTCTGTGCCCAATCAAACACTTTATGCATTGCTGTTACACCATCTTTACCCATTGGAACCACATCACCACCTGTCATTACGGCATAATCCATTCCTGAATTTCTTGCTAAACTCTGTAAGGACATGAAAAGAAGAACATTCCTCCATTAATTTATCCTCTGATTCATACATTGATTCATCAATTCCTCAAGATGTATTCATTCATTTGCCCATCCATCCACTTATTCATTTATGCCAATCAACCATTTATTTCTCCATACCTTAGCAAACATGGTTTTTCCAGTACCCGGAGGACCATAGAATAATAGATTTCGATACATTCCTTTATTTTTCTTAGTATTTGATGTTGCTACACTAATTTCACGTAGGTGTTGCTCTAAGCTTGGCTGAAATAATATAAAATATTAATCCATACTCTTCTAGGAGTTTGTATCTACTTTTGTAGATTTTCATATGTAATAAGAACAAACCTTTAAAATAATTCCTTGAAGAGAATTTTCTGGATCTACCAAAAACTTTCTCACAGACTGTTTGAAGATAAAATAATCTCTGTTACAATGGGAAGAATCCAGGGAGTGGCACAGGTGTCCTTGTATAGGGGTGTGGTTAGATGTGTGTGTGTGTGTGTGGGGTGGGGGGCTTTTTATTGAGTAGAGTAAGATGTGGTGAAGATAACCTTCAGTAAAAATCTATTCACACAGATGAGTTAGTTCGAGCTGTTTCATTACCTGAATAGGATGTCTAACAGCACTAAATAAATTTAGTCTAGAAGTTTCGCGTACTAATGATGGTTTTCCAAGACGGGCTTCTACAAACCTGAAAAAATACATCATATATAATATATACACATCATATTAATTCCTACATGTAGTTATTGCATGAATTGCAGTTTATCAGAAGAAACAGAAACTTGATAATGATGACAAATGGAAATAATCATGATGTTGATGAGTTGTGAAGCAGTTCAATTCCATGTTTACCTGGCTGCTACTCCAGTTCCATGTTTAGCTGCATAAATCCCTAAGGCCAGTAAAGTTAAGCCAGCTGCCTGTCAAAAGAAAAGAACATTCAAAATATTTTTAAAACAACTTTATCACTACATTGAGCAGTTAAAAATTGGTGTTTTTCTATATCAATGTACAACTTACTGTAGCTGATATTTTATCCCAATCTGATATAAAGGCATTGAATCCTGCTCCTAATATTGAGCCTGCTGTTCTGTGGTTATAAAAGTAAAATAAATGATTCATCCTTTAATGCTTTCAATTTGCAGTCGGGGTTCATGTGTGAGTAGTAGTTCCTCTGACTTGTATACATATTTACATTTTGGTTGATGTATCATACCAAATTGTCAGTCATAAAATGTAAATAACACCAAGTAAGACAGAACTATTCTCACAATGTTTTTATCCATAAAGAGAAAGATATTGAGAGAAATCCCTTACCTAATGGACTGGAGGACTGTATCTCTTTGCTCAGCAGCCTTGAGACGAATTTGCTCTAAGTATAAGTCTTTATTTTCCCTTTCAATTTTAGCTCTAAAATACGATATCACAACAGGGTGATGTTAAGAAAGGGACAGCATCACCTTTTGTCTCAAAAGCCATACTTACTTCCCCCTAAGCTCAGCTTCAAGTCTTTTCATTTCATTTTGATGCTTTAGCTCTGCTTCATATTGAATTGTACCTGAAAGAATATAGTGCAAATTCTGTTATTTTATGATGTCTAACGTCCTTTTAAGTTTTACTTAATTTTTTTACCTTTTCTCATTGCTTCTTGTTTTCTCACCGACTCTTCTTGTCTTGCTAAATTCTCCTCTTGGACTTTTTTCTGTAGTAAACAGATTATATTACATCAATGATTTCTAGCTAATCAACAATAAAATAACTTTAAATCTAATACAAAATGCATTTATGACAAGTCTTGCCTGTTGGTCAAGCTGATCATTATATCGTCGTCGTGCCAACTGATCATCATATTGAGCTCTCTAAAAGATAAAATATAAGAATGATATACTTATTGTCTGGGCTACCTGTATAAAACTAGGATATTGTGGTAGCTTTGGGGAAATCCCTGTGTCTAAAGTAGAGGAGGAAGGGCTAAAAATAAAACACAAGCTCCACTTCTTGTTGCAAAATAACAATGCTATTAAAAATATGATTTTATTCAATTTTCATTTGTAGAAATGAAAAAGACAGAAAGAAAGAACTAGGTTGTGACTCTACTGACAACTACTTCTGAGGATAACATCCCTATTGGGAGTACCCATCCCCACCCCCCTGTGGTCAGTTTCTCTCCTCACCTGTTGATGTTGTTGTGTTTCAGCTGATAATGTTTTTCGTTTCTCTTCTTGCTCAACACGGACTCTGTCTAGCGTCATTTGTTGAATCCCAGCCTCATATTCCTAGTTAGAAAGTACACCATTTTAAACTGGTCATTCAGAAAAAGAATATATACACCTAATTGAAGAAACGTTGTCGGGCTCCAAAAAGGTCAAATCATAGAAGCTAAGACCGAAAGGGTACTTGGGAAGACAACCAAGACTGCCTGATTTCATAACAAACAGCTCTCCAGCATAAAATACTAACATACTGTTAATCTTACTAGCTCTACTTGCTTTACCGTGCACCATGTTGAACACCGTATATGCAAATGTAATACCAATTTAGTGGTACTCAAAATCCCTTTCGGTCTTAGCTTCTATGATGTGACCTTTTAGAATCAAATCAATGTAATGTTACCTTGATTTTGCTTTGATGCTCAAGTTGTTTTGTTGTTTCTTGTACTTTTGCTAAATCTAATGCCTGTTGTGAGTGAGCTGTTAATCAAATATAAACACAAATACATGAGATAAGGTCAAAATTGTACGAATTACAGTGACGTACATCAACAAGTATAATGTCAGAACAGTTTGACAAATCACATTTTTTGTGAGTTAATTTCGCAATAATTATGTGTATAAGCAAAGATCTTACGAGATTTTTCCAGTTCTTTAGCTGCTTTTGCAGCTCGTTCAAGTCCTGTAGGATCAAAGCTAGTCCATACTGGCTTCCCTGAGCCCTTGTCTTTAGTGCCTCCATCTCCCTTGTCACCCCCACTTCCACCGTCTCCAGACCCTGATGGAGGAATAGGAAGTTGTGGTGGGAAGGCAGGAGGTGGAGCACTATCCTTGTTTACTCCAAAAAGCCAAGACATATCAAAAATAGCGAGAAATTCAACAAAACCTGGAGACTTTTAGGAAGAAATTTGATGATGAAAGTTTACACGTGCGAAATGACCGGGTGAGCCTCGATTGGATGCTCATTTGAATACCGCTGTTCCTGTTTACTGAAGGCTAGGTTTTATCATTTGCACATTTTTTCAAGTGGTTACTTTTGTATTATTATCAAAAGATTTGATTTTTTGGTTCAGATTTGTTTTTTTTTTTACAAGCATTTCAAGTTTATACAATTTAAAGCGTTTTAGTTGAAAAAAAAAACGTAAAATATTTCCAAGCTAAAATAATTCTATTTTTTTCATAATAAGATATTTCTTTCTTTGAACTATTTACTATAACATTCGAGAGTTTCTTTAATTTTGTCATATGATAAAAGATTTACGAAATGTGAGTAGTTTCTAAAAATAGACCTATGACGTCAATTACTGCACCTTTGTCGAGAAAGACTGGGCACCCATAGCTCGTACTAACTCCTACCAACCGATTTGGACAGTCATTCAATTTCTACGATTTGAAAGCCAAAAAATGTAAGGAAAATTCAAGAAATACTATTTTATATTACTTATATACCAGCTGAATAATTAAATTAGCTAGCTCGGTCAAAATCCTTGCAGAAATGTATGATATAGTGGCGCCATTTTGTTGTCACTGACAGTAAGCAAAATGGATCTTCAAAATTGTCTGAGATTTTTTCTTCTGTTAATAGGTCGTCGAAAAGACTACAGCAAACCCAAGCACAAGTCGACGAGGTAAAGATATGATGACACTGCTCTAAGGCAGTGCTTTATTTTTTTCGTTATCTGATTTCAAAGTATGGGAAATCAAGAGTTGAGCATGCTTTCCTGCACTCCAAAAATGGCTCAGAACTACTCAACCAGCCCACAATCCAATCTACTTATTGCTCAGTTTTTGAGCATTTTGATTTCATTGCGAATTTGTTGTTGAAATCAGGTTGTCGACATTATGAAAGTTAACGTAGATAAGGTCTTGGAAAGGGATGCCAAGTTATCAGAGCTTGACAATCGGGCTGGTAAGGAAAAAAATAATTTAATTAAGTTAAATCATTGATATTTTAGTTAATTCTCCTGTTATTACAGATTAGTCGTACACTTTGAATACTTCTTTACAATACAATGCCAATGATTGGGCTTTTAAAATTACAGAAATTTACATTTTAGTGGGTTTTATTTTGTCAATATATAGAAGTTGTTAGTGTCCACATATGTAGCTCAAGGTATTTATACAGGAGTAGTTGAAGAGTTTATTTACAGCCTAAAATTCACGCTAACTTTAATTTATTGATCAGTTTATAATTGTCTGTATATGACATTTCAAAACATAAATAAGTTTTTCCCTTTGAAGAAAAACAGCTGATGCTGAAAAGTTATAAGCTTACTTGATAAAAAAATAGCTTATTGTTGCTACAGCACTATTGTGTGCAAGGTTGAAGCACCAATATGTATCTGATAACATATTTTTATTAAGTACTACTAAAAGTATCACAAATGTGTGCAGACTTTAAGAGGTTGAAAGGTTCAAAGGAAGTTAGATATGAATTCTGCTCTTGTTTGACAAGGAAGCGACACTTGAGATGTGCTTTTTGCATCTTTATCAAAGATTCGGGTATTGATTGAAACCAAAATAAATTCCCTTCCTTGATTGTATGGACATTTTTTTCTTATCTTATAATTCTCTTAATTTTCTTACTTTCTTGATTTGGTTCTTGTTTCTCTCTGAATGTCTTTTTTTGATTCATTTAATTTTCACATTTTCAGATTGATTCATGTTTTCTGTTCCTTTTTATCTTTACTTTACCCTTATTCATTTCCTTTTCTCTTTTTTTATCTCTTCTTTTTCTATATTTCTTCCTTTTTATGTTTTCCAATTATGTTTGCAAAACTTGGAAACATTATATCTTTCTTCCTATTTTATTGGGACACTTTGGTGAAATGATTGCTTCTCCCTCAGGCAAAAGGGAAGTGTTTTAAGGATATTTTGACATTTTCATTGAAAAATCCTTATCATTAGGGATGATATCAGTACACAGAAACAAATAAATTATATTCAAACGGACTGGATGCTGTCAAAATAACCATACTGGTTCAAAATGTACACTGAATTGCATGGTAATCTGTGTTGAATTCTGTGTTCACCTACTTCATACATTTTGTTTTATTATTTCGTAGTTCAAGTTGCATAATTTCATTTTGTTGTTTTATGATTTGCAAAATAATGATCTTTGATATCTGTTTGTATTATAGAGCAATATATATCACTGTTATTGCTGTACTTTGGTTTTGTTAGTTAATGTTGTGTTGTTTTTATTTAGTTAATGTTGTGTTGTTTTTATTTATCCAAGATGCTCTCACTGCTGGAGCCTCACAGTTTGAAACCAACGCAGCAAGACTGAAGCGTAAGATGTGGTGGCAAAATTGCAAGGTATTCTAATTAACTCATTGTCTAATGCCTGTCCAGCAGCATGTCAATGATTGTTGTTAAGGTGTTAGTTGATTGTTACTATGGTGTTGACTGATGGTTACCAAGGTTTTGACTAATGGTTACTAAGGTATTGACTTATGGTTACCAAGGTTTTGACTGATGGTTACTAAGGTGTTGACTGATAGTTACCAAGGTTTTGATTGATGGTCAGTAATGTGTTGACTTATGGTTACTAAGGTGTTGATTAATGATTACTAAGATGATGATTGATGAGATTAGTATTGCTTACAAATGATTTGTATTTTTTTAGATGTGGATCATCCTTATTATTGTTATTCTTGTAATTATTGCAGTGATAGTCAGTAAGTATTTTAATGTTTTTTACCATACCCCTTTCTTAATTTCTTCTTAAACCTGCCAGTAATAATCCAGTTTCGAATTCTCCAATGCTCTGTSTTAGCCTCATTTGTGTGCAAAATATTCCTAATTGTGAGAATAAAAGTGTGAGATTTCAAATCAATTCTATTGTCTTTCTTTTCAAATTCCATGGGTTTTCTTGGGCTATCAATGAAACAAAAGAATATGTTACTTGGTTTTGAGGCTAACACAGAGCAAACCAGAACTCGAAATCAGAGTATTGATCATAATAGTTGACCAGTGATACTTGACAGCATTTTTAGTTCTTTCTGTATTATTGCCATGAAAATCACTCAAATATTTTGCTTTATTTTTTTTAGTCTGGGTTGTATCAACTGGAACTGGATCAAGCAGTGACAGCAAAGCAACTGTAGCTCCAACAACTGCTAAACCCTGATGAAAACCTACCCTACCCCTCCCATCTTAAAAAAATAATTTTCTGCACTACAGACATTGTAACAACTTATGACATGCTTTGGATAATTCTCTTCAATTTTTCAATAATTTGTAAAAAATGTAATTCTAGATGAAAACATCAAGGGATTGGTGTCTTTTCCTTATCATGAAAATTAAATTTCCCCACTTCTTAAATATGGGTATGGAGAATTAATGAAGCTAATACTTTTAGAAATTCTCTGACAGACTTTTAGTAATTGGAATTTCCTGACTACTTGATCTGATTGATAAATAATATAATTAATGCTAATTTATGTGAATTCAAAATAAGTAAGTTCATTTGTTTTGTTGCTTTCTGGATGTAAATATGCATGCCTAATGACATTTAAGTATATTCTTTATATCCTTCAAGTATACATTCTATTACATAAAGTTTTTCGACAGGAATCCCCCCCATTGAGTTTAGTGGCTGAATCAATGCTTGATCAATTCTTATCCTTGGCTAATAGTCTTCCTCAGTGTTTCCTTAGCCATCTGGAAGGTAGCTGTGCATTTCCAACCAAGTGCCATGACATTTGAGTGTGCAATGATTAATACCTGTGAATAATAATATTGTTTGTAGGTTTGAAAGAAGGTGTTATCATTGCATGCTTATTGTTCATCTTGATTTGATACAAAGGCAATGGTTCAGGGAACCATTAAAGTAAAGTATCTCTAAAGAAACACTAAGAAATCAATAAGATTTAACTTAAAAGTGTTGCCCAGGACCTTAGGCTTCAAGCTCTACCTTGGACCATAAAATAAACAAGCATTTCTCAGATACTACAATGTTTCCCAGCCTCTGACTTCAGTATATAGCTGTTTTGTTAGTGTACTTATCAATATTTGTTATAAAAATCTAACGTGATTATCTGACATTAAAAATGACAGGATTTCAATATTTTTGTTTGATTGATTCTTTGATCTCTTTCCCTACAACCAGTAGTAGAGTCTCTTACCAGAGTCTCTTTTCCAAGAGCTTCCTTCCCTAGACACCGGAAGTGACGTCAGAAGTTCACTGTATATTTACTATTTACGGGGTTCCTGTGTTCTTTAAGGTGGCCCACTTTCAACATATCAAAATGGCGTCGGTTGTGACAGTTGTGAGTCGGTTTTGTTATCGAAGTCCAACGCGACCTCTGTTTGTAGCTGGTCTGATTTTCCTGATTTTGATAACGTGGAAGTTCCTTGTTGCTCAGCCAGATGCAAACGCACTTATGATGCACAGCAAGGTCGACAGAACTTGGGGTGGACGAAATCGAGTCCGACCAGAGGCACATCTACATTTACATTCACCTCTGCAAAGTCCAGTAAAAAGTGAAGAAAGTCGAAAACGATTGGTGAATAAACTACCAGAGGTTGAAGATCTAGGAGGAGCAGATAAGCAAGACAAGCAAGACGATTCTAGCAGCAAAGGAGAGAAAGTTGTAGAGGGTGAAACGCAAGATGGTGGTAGAGTAGAACAACCTGCTCATATTTCAAAACAAAGTCTTATTACAAAAGAGCCTAATAATATCAAGATCGTTACAACCAAAAATGAAGAGTTGGTTATTGAAAAAGGTGTTGCAGTCAAACGAACGCGATTAAAAATTCATAAAGGAACAAACGATAATGAGTCTTTTAAAATGAATAAAAAATTAGATGAAAATGTTGACAAAGAAACTATGTCGTCCCAAGAGAAAAGCAGCCAAAGCAAGATACAGCATGGTAACCAGACAATCGAGCTAAAAGAAACTGATAACAATGAGCAAAGATCCTCAAAAAAGAACAAAGGAAGACATGAAATAAGAAGCTCAACATCAAGTGTACTAAATCATGTCGGCGTTGAGTCCTTGGATGCACCAATAGACAAGGGATTTCCTAGCAACGGGACTCATATACTTCCAGTTCTAACGCAAATTAACAACAATAAACAGAAGACCGTTATTGCTCAAGTTGATCATCCTATTGACGAATATCACATCCTTTTAACTCTTGTAAAAATGTCACCCAAAAGCCAACTTGCAAAGAGCATGAAAAAGTTCTTAAAGTCTGTATGTCGACATACCAGTATTACATTAACACTACATGCTGTAGTGGATGACATTGGAAAGTCGATTGTAATGGAGTTTTTTAAGACTTCTACTGGGTTATGTAAAGAGACGCAGATTGTCATTCATAATGTGAAAGAAGTAGTTGGTCAACTAAAACCACTAACTCAATTTCTACAGGTATTACTAACTCATTTTCCATTTAATTCCCATTTCTTCAGTTCATTTTCCATTGTAATTCCCATTTTTTCAGTTCATTTTCCATTTAATTCCCATTTTGTCAGTTCAATTATTCTTAGTATTTATGAATTACCTTATTTTCCCCAGGAATACTTCGGTAAGGAGAATTCATACTACAATGATCCCATCTTCTTCATGTCTACTGCAATGCATAAAGTACTCCCTGAAAAGCTCAAGCAAATCATTATGATGGATGTTGATCTTAGGTAAGAAACTTTTGTCAATTGATGTCAGTCCACTAGTAAATGTATTTTATCAAGGTGGATGGCTTGTCAAGTAATGCTCATAATAATGTGACAATGTAAAGATAGTGTTGACTATTGTGGCTGTTCATTCACTTCAAATGATGATAATATCAAAAGATTCTCATGAAATGTCTATTTTCACAGATTTGTGAGTGATATAAAGGAGTTATTTGATATGTTTCACAACTTCAAAGAATCCAACATTATTGGCTTGGCAAGGGAACAATCCCCCGTCTACCGTCACATACTCTGGAAACATCGGGCTGCACACAAGGGAACTTTAGTCGGCGGTCCACCTCCGAATGGAATAACTGGATTTAATAGTGGTGTAGTATTATTCAACTTGGAAAACATGCGGAAATCATCACTGTACAATCATATATTACAAGGAAAAGAAATCAAAAGACTTTCTGAGAAGTACAGTTTTCGTGGACATCTGGGTGATCAAGATTTTTTCTCTCTTTTAAGTTTTGATTATCCTGATCTTTTTTATACTATTCCGTGTTCTTGGAATCGTCAGTTGTGTACATACTGGAGAGATAATGGTTATGCTGACGTATGGAATCAATATTATAATTGTACTGAACCTATCCATGTCTACCACGGCAATTGTAGAACATCAATACCTGTAGATATTGATAGATAACAACTAAAAGATTTTTACTTTTAAATTGATTTTAAGATATACAGGGCAAGTTTTAAATTAGGGATGAGATATAAATTATTTAACTTTTAAGAGGCCCTTTTCCTATTTTAGAAAAAATTGTATTTTACTCACTAGGGATCTTAGTTATAGGTGGTTTTTTACATGAATATTTGTAAATTATTGCAATCAGGTACTCTTTGAATGCTAAACATTATTTATGCAGGATTACTTCAGTGTTACAGCTTGTAAATTAAAAAAATATATGATGCACTGAAAATACTAATAATATGTTGCAATTGCTGGGCTACCTGTGATTAGAAAGCACAGGACACCCATGTGATAAACACAAGGTTCACTTATCTTGTATTTTATTGACAATGACTTTGTGTGTTACACACATCCCCTACAACTATTACCCTATTTAACTGTAATAACCAATTTATTTACAAAAAGAATAAATTTTTACACTTTAACAAGTTTCTTTGATAATTAATTTTATCTTGACTTAAACACACAACACTTCAGTTTAGTTATATACAATATATCACTCACAAACTTCCAAAAACTACATGATCAGTGTATTTTTCATATTAAACTCTCTACTATTAGCTTTCCTTTCTGGTATATTCAGCTCTAATTTTTAGGCCCATCAGGACATATTGTAATGCCATCAAATCACTCACCAGTGACTGACATATAATACAAATCCATCTATTTCATCAATTTTGGTTTCAACTAAAACTTAAAAATTCATCAAAGACTGTACAATCTCAATCTAAATAATAAATAATAATCTTTACATTAAATTGATCAGGATACTGACTTGTCATGAACAATGTATAAAATATAGTTCTTAAGACGTTCTGGGATGTCAAGCTCTGTCACTATGTATAAATTTGAAGGTGAAAGATGACGCCGAAGTTCAATACGACACATTTGCATCAATGTTTTGGGTTGACCTACAAACAAGATTAACATGAAATGTAGAGCAATCATGGTTTATTGCAAATTTTCGATTAAAGTTCATTACAAACAACCATCTCTACCTACCTTGGGTTTTGTGGATGTATCCAAGTAACTTTTGGTATTTGTTGTACTGTTCAATGTTTGAAGAATTTGAATACCTAAGCACTAAGCCTTCCAGACAGTTAATGGCAGAGCACTCGTTCTGATCTTGTATGTCACATCTTGCTCCGTACTCTATCAATAAATATGAAAGTGCTTCTACTTCTTCGCCAGTTACAACTAAAGTAAAAAGAAATCAATCAGTTAAAAAGGAAAATATTGCAAAAGGATATCAAGATCATTGTTGCATTCTTTACATCAAGAAAATAAGTGAAAAATATAATCATGAATGCATACCTTCATGCATAGGTGTCCTACCGCTGCTGCACTGTACATTGGGACTAGCACCAGCATCCAGTAAGAACTGCACACATGCAATACTCTGAGCTTCGCATGCAACATGGAGTGCAGTCTTATAATGCGCTTTATCTGTTTGTATCACCGATGCATTATATTCCAATAATAGTTGAATAACATTACTGAAAAGAGAAATTAGATTGGTTAAATACACTTAAATGTGATTGGTTGAAGATGATGTAATCATTACCTATGTGCCCTCTGTGCTGCTAAATACAATGGGGTTTGTCCCCAGGCTTCCTCGACACCGACTAAAGCACCATTCTGTAGCAATACCTGGGCGCATGTCAGGTGACCAAAGTAAGCAGCTTGATGCAAAGGTGTACTTCCAAATCTACAACAAAAACATGTGAGTACTTTTGATGTCAATTGAATCCTATAGTCTTGAAGAGCTGCCACTTATTGCTGGATGCAATGCTTTATAAGACGGGCTGGAAAGAAGGCTATAGCATCTACTGAAATACTTGAGTTTACCTGGAAGTACTGTTAACATCTGCTCCGTATTCAATCAATATTTTTACACACTTTGCATATCCATGATAGACAGCAAGGTGTAGTGGAGTTAAACCATCTTTTTCTCTTGCATTCACTGTTGCTCCTATAAAATACAATAACTATTAGAGTACTAATACTAAACCGTCATCTGTTGCTCCTATACATACAATAACTATTAGAGTACC